ACCCAACCCAACCCTCACGAGGGTCCCTGGGCTTAAAACGTCTTCCTTACAAGGAGTGGGGGAAGGAAGGAGCCCCGAGGAGCAGAACCCGATCTTTTGTTTGTTTGTCGAGTTTTGTTATTTCAGACCTTTAGGGGAAGCAAGCAGCGAGAGAGGAAGGGCTGTCCTCCCTGCAGACGTTTCTCTTCTCCTAGCAAACCGTCCAGGCCTCGGTTCCACATTTTGCAGTTCACTGTGTGGATTTTAATAGGTTGTTCCCTTATTCTCGGGCCCAACCAATGCACGCTGTGCAGCTGGATGAAATGAGAGCACATCCTCTGCCATTTTCAGCCCGTTTGTCCTGGCAGCCCTGCCCCCCTTCCTTGGCTGCTCCCTGCCGCTGGAGTTAATGCGCCCAGAAACTCCGCCTGATCCTCCGGGCCGCAGATCCAGTCCGCGTTTGCCAAGCGCCGTACTGTCGGGGACGGCGATAAGAACTCTCTTGTGAGGGAGAGCTAGCGAGACTTTAGTCCGGTTTCCATGTCAACGATTCAGTCCATATTTGCCATCAGGCTGTTGGTGGCAGAGGCGCTTTCGCGAGGGTAGCGCTGTCCTAGTCCTAGTTCTCCAATCTGCGCCGGGATTCCAGAGCTGCCGGGTGTGGGGTTAAAAGGCAGGGGCTGTGGGGGAGAAAACTCCACTGAGGGGAGAACCCACAGTCCCAAGCCGGGGTCTCGCCGCTCGGGCCAGCCACGTGCCCAGCTCCGCCCCTCCCCCGCTTCCCGGTGTCACTGCCCCTAGGGAAAGCTGGTGGGCCAGTTTCTAAGAAAGTTCCCACGGCGCTGCAGACCTTGAGATAGTGGTGTGGGGCTCTAACGGTAGGAGTGGGAGATCTTGAAACCTAGAGGATTGGGGAGGGGGCAGTAGGAAAGAAGAAATCGCACATTTCCTCCCCTAGGTGCAAAAATTTTTGTGCACTTCACCTTATTGCTAGATGAAAATGGTGACTGTTTCCAAAACAGCGTGCCCACGTGTAGGGAAAGAGATCTTGGCGCTTTCCATATTTCACAGCCATGGAAGGAAGGGGGTGAGGGCTTTCTTTGGAGACAAATCCATTCGGGTTTCCAGATTTTCTCTGGGCTCCAGGTTTCCCATTACACCCCAGCTCTGAAGAAAATAGCAGGGTAATTGCATGTAAAAAATTCCTCATTTGTGTGCAGGACTCAGGACTGTTTGCCAGCTCAGAGGCAGTTGATTAAATAGCCAAGCTCTATTTATGAGGCAGCCTATAATTTGGTTTCTAGGACCTAATGCACTGGGAGAGTTGGTGCCCCAGAGGACTGTGAGTGAAAAGAGGGCACTGGTCCACACCAGTCAGTGGGATATTTCTGGTAGGCTGGTTTGGTTCTTGGCCTGGGGGGGGGGGGAATAAAACAGTGAGTTTTTTTGGATCTCACCACTCTTAGATTAACAGGAAGGTTTTGCCTTTTAGTGTAGGATGCTCTAAGTTTTCTTGGAGGTAGAAATGAGTTCAGGCTTTTGGAATTATTCATGGTGATCAGTGACATTGCCAGAACTCCAGGAGCCTACAGAATCTGAAAGTTGTAAGATATGGCTATGAAGTCTTCATTTATAAAATCTGAGAGGGAAAAGAGACCTGGGTGTCTAGGGACACTGGCCTGGGCCTTTCCCAAGGCAGCCTTGGATCTAGTAAAGAGCTGGAATCCCCTCTGGCTTTCGTAGCCTGTTATGTCAGACTGTTCCAAGTCAGCCTGAGGAGTAAAAGGCCACTGCTGGGATTTGGTGGCGCCTGCAGAAGATCAGGACAACCCTAGAGGTTTCTATGCATGCCTTGATCTTTTCAGATAAACCTGGCCTTATACCCAACCCCAGTTCAATGAGGTCTCTTAGTATGTGATGGTAAACTTTAAAGAATCTTTACACTGTGGGATAGAAAATACATCTGAGTAGCTTCCTTCACTTACTAAGTGAAGCAGACTGTTAGACTGTGCCTTTTTTTTTTCTTTAAGGAGAAAATGTTTTTAATTTTATGCATCCCTGTTCTGCAGTGGCTTGTTTGAACACTCAGGTTCTTTGAGTCCCTGGAGCCTCTTCTGTGAATTGTTTTCAGTCTTACAAGGTTCTGTCTTTAGAGACTGGGGCTATTGGTCATTGTGAAGTAAGTTCTCTTAGGAAGTGATAATGGGGCTTGGGATGTCTGTTAGAGGACTGTCCAGTGCCTTCAAAGCAGCCTTAGTGGCTACCATTTTAAATCAATGGTGAGATGACTCGCTTTGATTTCAAATTCATTTTGATATTCTGATCCCATTGTTGGATTTTTTCACAACTTGACCACCTACATATATATATACACCCATATACATATAAACACACACACACACACATATATATAAGGCTAAGTAGACAGAGGCAGCTTTGGGGACTACACTTCTTTTTAAAGCTACCCTCCTCTGCCCTCTGACTTTAAGTGATAGGCAGTCCCTCCCCTCTCCTTTCAGTTCTGTAAAATGGGGATAATCAGGACCTCATGCTTCCAGGGCCTTGTGAGGATCTGCTAATGAGGGCAGGCCAGCAGGAAAACGGATAGTCCGAACAATGATCAGTCACTCCTTTGGGCTTGCAAAGGGGGTGAAAAGCAGAGCTCACTTTTGCTGGGTCTTTAGAGTGGGCTTGTAACAGGCTTTGAAGAAGAAAAGTGCTGTAGAGGTGCTAAGCAGCAGCCAACAGTCCAGGCCCGCTGCCAGGAGGTCAGGCCTGGGCCGAGGCGGCCGCAGTCTCGGGCTCAGGCCAATTTTGCAGCCGCGGGTAAAGTTCACGCTGCCCGCTCCCCTCGGAACCGCCGGGAGGGGACAGACCAGGATAGGGACGCCTGAGGGAGGCGGCACAGGCTCCGGAGAGGCGCGAACTCCGGACCAGGTTTTCTCCGAAGCCTTCGGCGGCGGCGCTGCCGAGCGAAAGCGGCTGAGAGCCTGCCGCCGCCGCGGCTCGTTCTCTCCCCTCCTCCTTTGTGAGGGGAAGGGAGCGAGTCCGTTCCACGGCCTGCGCCCGCTCCGCTCTCCACTCCGGGTTTGTTAGGCGGCCGCGACGGCGCTGGGTAAAATGGCAGTGCTGAGCCTCGTGTCGGAGTGAGGGGGACTCGGAGGAGAGTGGGGCGCTCTAGCCGCTCAGTCCCGCCGACCGCTTGCTCGCCCACCAGCTGCCGCGCAGCAGCCTCGGCCCGAGCCGCGGCCGGGGAGGGGAGGCAGGGCGCCCGGCCCGGCCCGCGCTCCGACTCTACCTCTCGGCGCCCGGGCTGCTGCCGCGCGCCCTCCAGCCCGCCGGTCCCGGGTCCCCCTCCCCCCGCTCCCTCCCTCCCCGCCCCCTCCCCCTCGCCTCCCTCCCTCCCTCCCTCCCTCCCTCCCTCCTCCTTTCTCCGGCAGCAGAAAGCGGAGAGTCACAGCGGGGCCAGGCCCTGGGGAGCGGAGCCTCCACCGCCCCCCTCATTCCCAGGCAAGGGCTTGGGGGGAATGAGCCGGGAGAGCCGGGTCCCGAGCCTAAAGAACCGGGAGCAGCTGAGCCGCCGGCGCCTCGGCCGCCGCCGCCTCCTCCTCCTCCGCCGCCGCCAGCCCGGAGCCTGAGCCGGCGGGGCGGGGGGGAGAGGAGCGAGCGAGCGAGCGCAGCGCAGCAGCGGAGCCCCGCGAGGCCCGCCCGGGCGGGTGGGGAGGGCAGCCCGGGGGACTCGGCCCCGGGGCGGGGTGGGAGGGGGGGAGAAGACGAAGACAGGGCCGGGTCTCTCCGCGGACGAGACAGCGGGGATCATGGCCGCGCAGGTCGCCCCCGCCGCCGCCAGCAGCCTGGGCAACCCGCCGCCGCCGCCCTCGGAGCTGAAGAAAGCCGAGCAGCAGCAGCGGGAGGAGGCGGGGGGCGAGGCGGCGGCAGCAGCGGCCGAGCGCGGGGAAATGAAGGCAGCCGCCGGGCAGGAAAGCGAGGGCCCCGCCGTGGGGCCGCCGCCGCCGCTGGGAAAGGAGCTGCAGGACGGGGCCGAGAGCAATGGGGGTGGCGGCGGCGGTGGAGCCGGCAGCAGCGGTGGGCCCGGCGCGGAGCCGGACCTGAAGAACTCGAACGGGAACGCGGGCCCTAGGCCCGCCCTGAACAATAACCTCACGGAGCCGCCCGGCGGCGGCAGTGGCGGCAGCAGCGATGGGGTGGGGGCGCCTCCTCACTCAGCCGCGGCCGCCTTGCCGCCCCCAGCGTACGGCTTCGGGCAACCCTACGGCCGGAGCCCGTCTGCGGTCGCCGCCGCGGCGGCCGCCGTCTTCCACCAACAACATGGCGGACAACAAAGCCCTGGCCTGGCAGCGCTGCAGAGCGGCGGCGGCGGCGGGGGCCTGGAGCCCTACGCGGGGCCCCAGCAGAACTCGCACGACCACGGCTTCCCCAACCACCAGTACAACTCCTACTACCCTAACCGCAGCGCCTACCCCCCGCCCCCCCAGGCCTACGCGCTGAGCTCCCCGAGAGGTGGCACTCCGGGCTCCGGCGCAGCGGCGGCCGTCGGCTCCAAGCCGCCTCCCTCCTCCAGCGCCTCAGCCTCCTCATCGTCTTCGTCCTTCGCTCAGCAGCGCTTCGGGGCCATGGGGGGAGGCGGCCCCTCAGCGGCCGGCGGGGGAACCCCCCAGCCTACCGCCACCCCCACCCTCAACCAACTGCTCACGTCGCCCAGCTCGGCCCGGGGTTACCAGGGCTACCCCGGGGGCGACTACGGCGGCGGGCCCCAGGACGGGGGCGCAGCCAAGGGCCCGGCGGACATGGCCTCACAGTGTTGGGGGGCTGCGGCGGCGGCAGCGGCGGCGGCGGCTGCTTCGGGAGGGGCCCAACAAAGGAGCCACCACGCGCCCATGAGCCCCGGGAGCAGCGGCGGCGGGGGGCAGCCGCTCGCCCGGACCCCTCAGGTACACAGCTGAGTAGGGAGGGGGCTGGGGCAAGTGTGGTCCTCGGGGTGGGTGGCGGCTGCGGGGAGTGGGCCACAGCCGTGGGCTCCCCTCAGTCCCGGGCCCCCGGCGCTGGGGAGCTGCCATTGTCTGGCTCTTCTCTCTTAAAATGGCTGCCTGTCTGCCTTCCTCTCTTTCCCTCCTTTAGCCTTTGTGTCGGGCTTTCCCAGAGGTGTCTGCTCCTCTTCTCCCTCTTCCCTGGTCCCTTCGAACTCCGGGGGTCTTACAGGGGGTGCGGGGCAGTGTGTGTGGGAAAGGGCCAGGCCCAGGGTGAGGGGTTGTTGGGGGCTCAGGTTAGGGGTGTAGGCAGTGGTAGGAGCTTGGGAGTTGAGTGACCATTTCTTTGCTCACTTGCCGCTCCTCTCTGTCCCCTTGCCTTCCTCTAGGCCGCCCCCATCTGTGCTTTCAAGGAGGGGCCCCTGGAACTCGTGGGGACCTCGAGGGAGGGCAGGGACCTGGTTGGGGGCAGCTAGAGGCCGGCTGTGGTTCACCCAGGGCAGCCTGGGCCATCTCCTGTCTTGGGCTTCGCTGGCCTAGTGGCCTGGGCTTCTCCCTGGAAGTGCTGGTAAACAGCTGAGTGATTGGAGTAGTAAGTGCAGATTGCTTTGGTTTGGGATTTGAATTATGGAGGTAAAATCCTTCTGTCAAAGCCAGGAGACAGTTGGTCTTAGGTTGACATCCTATCTGTGATCTGATTGGCTCCCCATCTCCTGCTCTTGGCCATTTATAATTGCCTCTGATGTAATGGTACAACAATCCTGATGAGCTCATAAACTTTTACACTCTGCTTTTCTGCCAGTGATAACCCAAACCATCGCTGCCACTATTTGCCTTTTATTCCAGAACTGAAATTGGCTGTGACCTTGAGGAGGGAGGTTTAAGCGGCAATACTGTATCAGCAGGAGCAGAGCCCCAGACTGGCTGCCCTTGTTACATTGTGCCCGAAACAAAAGAGGAGGCAATGGCATTTTGCTTGTACCTTGGATTTATTTTGCTTGTTATGTTTTATGCAGCCTGAAATGGATTCTGTGTTGTCAGAACAGTAGCTGAGTTTTTTCTCTACAATGGGTTTGCTGTTTGTTTTGGTTTTGTGACTTTCCTGATGATATAAATGACTTCTTTGATGGCTCAGAAGATGCATTTGTCTTGAGTAATTTTGACACTGTTTGCTTTGCAGAATTGAAATTATTTTACTGGGCTTTTTATTGAGTGGCAAATATGGGATCATTATGGGGGGGGGAGAAAACATTTTTTTGTTTGTTTAGAACTGGGAGCTTTCTTAGGGAATTTCATATTAGGTTCAAGTGTTTTGTTTTAAGGAAGGCTGGCATCATTCTTTGTTTACATGTTGAATCTTGTTAACACTTTCTTTTTTAATTGAACTTTGGGATAGCAGCTTAATTTCAAAGGAAGCTGATACCTTTCATGGTCTTGAGAGGGACTTTCGTTTTTCTCCTAAAGACTTGGTTTGGTGAAATTTATCTTTTGTTTCTGGAATGTAAAAAAAGGCTAGTTTTCTGTTTTGTCATCAGTCATTTTAGAGCTTTGAAATAAGAGATTGGCCATTTTAATGTATGTTCCATTTTTCCCTGTCTTCCAAGATATAAAGATATCTTGGGAAGATTTGCTTACAAACTGTAACTTTCACGTACCTTTTTATACATTCTGTTCTGTTTTATTTGCTTTTCTTCCCTCTTTCCCATACTCTGTCTTCAGTCCTTTGGTCAGAATAATTGGGTATTTTATGGAGTTTTGTATGTTTTCAGAGAAGAGCAAAGTTCTGATAATATCCCCCCCCTCAGCATTTGTACCTTTGTGCTTGGAGAAGATTTTGTTCACTTAGTTGGCCTAATTATTTGTATTCCCTCCCCATCCTAGAGCTACTTTTCTACTTTTCCATTAAGCTGGAAATTTTGAAAATAGCTGTGTTAGATGGTGGGCTTGGAGCTCTGTGCCTTAATTCCACATCTTCAATGATGTTCTGCATCTGGGCAAGAAATAGGGGAATGTTAAATTGTTTTGCTATCAGCTCTGCAGTTTCTTAAAAAAAAAAAAAAAAAAAGAAAGAAATTGTTTTGCTAGTGTTTGGAGAATAAGTTTTGTCTTAGAAGACAGCATCCTTTTTTTTTTCCAGCCCAGGTTCTGATCCGACAGAGGTCATCTTCTTGTCTCCAGGCCATTCTATAATCTATGCCCCCCTTCCCCTCATTCCCTCTCTTTTGTTTTGTTTTGGCTGAAAACTATTAGAGGAAATAATTTGGGGTAAGTCAAGGCTCATTTGAAAGCAAAATTGATTTGAATTCTAATGGTTTGGGAATACTTGGGTAAACTTTAAAAAATAAAAAAACCAACTTTTGCCACATTGATTTCTGTTTTTCAGTGATTACATTATTGAACATCTTCTACATTCTAGGTAGTATGTTCTGTCCTGGGTAGGAAAATAGGAAAATAGATAGATGATAGGAAAATAGATACAGTTCCTGTTTAGAAGCCTGTCTGTGCTGCCTTTGGGATGAATTTTCTGATCTCTTTTAATATCATTAGAATCCAGCCCTCCACACAATATAGAATTCTATTTAGTTTTAGTTCAGTTGCCTACTCCCTGGAGACCAGAGGAATGGATTGGTTAGCATTCATTTGTGGAAGAAATGGTGCAACTTCTAGTTTTGTGGGCTTCTTCAGGTGTGTGGTAGTAGTCTAGGTACATAAACTTTGTTCTGAATTCCTCGTTGCTACTTGAGGACAAACCTCTTCTCAGACCAGGATGCCCTGCTCTTAAGCATTCTTAAATGAAAGGATCTTGCTCTGCCTTCTTTCTCTGACCTAGTCTTAGATTAAGAATATTTTGCAAAGACTTAATGCAGCTAAGGTGGTAATGTTCTCTTGACTATGACTTTTTAAATAAAGATTAGGCAAGTGTGGGTATTGTGGATATGTCTTTTTCACAGGAGCTGAGAAGATACCAGCTGACAAACTTTTCCTTTATCCCTTTTTATAAGTAATGTTGTATCTCAGGTGTTGGATCCTGATATTGATGAAATCGTTTTAGGTTACCTATGTACTTGAATTTGATGTAAGGCTTTTTACTTGGGATGCTTTTAGTGGTAATACCTTGAGAGTAGTACCAGTTTATCAAGGTAAAAAAAATGAAATACAATAAATAGTCCAGGATCAAGTTGGATTTGATTGTAGAAGTTTGGCTGTTTCTGCTATGGAAATATCAAATGATATTTCCGACTCCTGGGAAACAGATACAGGAATCCTGGATTTATTATGGGGATGCCTACTGGCAGAAATTCTGGGCTGGCTGAAATACAGGACTCTTGGAGCTCTCTCAAGTAGGAGGGACCAGGAAAACCACACTGAGATGGCACTTTAGTTGTGGGGGTTTCATGTTTCTCTGCTGTTCATGAGAGAACTGGGGGTGATGGGGGTTGAGATGGTGGTGTGAGAATAGAAAAAGCAACCAGAACCAAGGTTGGCTTCTTGTGCATCAGACCCTGTGAGGACTTTTTAAGTCCCTTCATTTTTGTGTGACACACAGTAATCATGACAAGCAGCACCTGCTGTAACAAGATGGCTTGGATTGCTTTAAACATTCATATGTTGGATTGATTCCTGTAGTATGTGATGTCTACTGTAGATGTTTTGCAGAGAGGTTAGTGAATTTTTTTTTTAATGTGGGAATTAGCTAACAAAGTAATGGGCAGGACCCTTTCCTATTCCCACTCCTCAAAAGGTTTAATGATCTGCTTAAAATCTCAAAATTCTAGAAGCAACTGAAGCATGCAGATATGGTTAAAATATGATATTCAAAATAATTTGGCACTCAATAGTTCTTTCCTGCCAGTGAGCTATGATACCTGGGGCTCTGAAATGGAGTCCTGATTCCCTGTGGCTTTTATCTTTGGGTTTTTCCTTGTTTGGATGGGTCATTGTCGTTACTGATGTACACTGAGTTGTGTGTTGCATAGTGATGAAGAGTAGCATAGGAATTACAAGAGGAGGAGGAGGAGAGAGCAAGTTTAGGTTCTACATGCAGCTCCAGATTAAGCTGTGTGACATTGGGCAAGTCATTTGCCTTCTCTGTTTGTCATTTTCTCCTCATCAATGAAGTTGTTGATCTGCATGACCTTCTTACTCTGATGCTACACATCCATCTATGCTTCTATAACTGGCTTGTTATGAGGGCAGCTTCTTCCTGTCTATTTGTCAGGGGTTTTTTTTAGACAGAGTCTCACTTTGTTGTCCAGGCTAGAGTGAGTGCCGTGGCATCAGCCTCGCTCACAGCAACCTCAGTCTCTTGGGCTCAAGTGATCCTGCTGCCTCAGCCTCCCGAGTAGCTGGGACTACAGGCATGCACCGCCATGGCTGGCTAATTTTTTGTATATATATTTTTAGTTGGTCAATTAATTTCTTTCTATTTTTGGTAGAGACAGGGTCTTGCTCAGGCTGGTTTCGAACTCCTGACTTTGAGCAATCCATCCACCTCGGCCTCCCAGAGTGGTAGGATTACAGGCGTGAGCCACCGCGCCTGGCCTTTGTCAGGGGTTTTGAGACCATCTTTTTTCTGGGCATAAGGAACTTAAGGCTGTTATCTCCCAGGGATTCGCAGGTACAATCTCTAAAACAGTTGGATGCCACAGTGGTCTGTGGACCTTTACAGAAAAAGCTCTACCAGACTGTTGCCCCGAAACTTAATCTGTTTGTCATTAGTCATTCCACCTGGCTGGTGGTTTTAAAACACTAAACAGTAATTGAAAAGTTAGGTAGACTTCATTAGAGCAAAACTTGAAAAACAGTTGCTTCAAGATCCCCAGGAGGCTTTACACTGGTGGGGGGGTAAGGGTGGGGTGAGAAGTGGATATTCATAAATTCAATGTTAACACTCCAACTCTTTTCGGAGGGTAGGGAGGTAGAGAGGTAGCATTAAGCTCTCCAGACTCCTTTGGTGTTGGGGCAGGTCTAGGTCTGGTTTGGGCAGTTGGTTGTAATCTGAGTGCCTGGACTTGCCCTGTAAGTTTTGCTGAGAGGGAGCAAAAGTTCCTGAGATTGGAACAGGAAAAGTTGTTTCAGGGTCAATTTCATAGATGCATTTGTCTTTTCTCATACCCGTGGTTAAAAAAAAAACTATGTTGCATGGTTTGCACGTGGTCCTGGAAATGCTGTTCTTTCTCTTCTCCAGCACACTGAATTTCCCTTCTCTCCTCTCCTGGCTTAGTAGTTTAGAAGTATAATTTAGGCATATTAGAGGTGAGCTAGAAGGAAGCTTCCCTTTATAAAGGAAGGAAAAAGGTAGAGAGGGAAAGGTGTTTGGTAATTCTCTGCTTGACACAGCATCTTCTTCGTCTCTGAAGGAACCAAATGTTTCAGAGCTTTGTGTAAATACTTGCTGAGCTGTCAATATGTACCCAGGAGGTTTCTGTAGTAAGATGTAAACGGCTCTATAGAATGTTTGACAGGCAAATTAATAAACAGTTTTCAAGCAAAGATAATGCTAGTCTCCTCATATGGTGGAGTAAAATAACATTGGTGAAAAAGACTTGGGGATAGGGAAGATGGTAGTGCTAGGGGCCAGGGAGTGTGGAGATAAGAAGTGATCTAAAGAAGATTTAAAGTGGAAAGATGTTGCCTTGGCAGTGAAACCTCCATGGCCCTGGCTCCGTGCTAAGTTCAGGGCATGTGGTGGTGGTGCCCTGTTAAAAATCAATTGCAGTTTCTTAGTGAAAATAAATAGAAGCTTGGAAAGGTTTTAAGGTTCAATAGTAAGGTAAGTGTGCTCCAAAACTTGGTTTATGAGACTTTGAGTTTTAAAGCCTTGCTTCTTCAGAAAGGGTTTGTAGTTTTTTGAGATGTATTTTGGGTTGGTTTTACATTTTTTGAATACTAGAAAGGAGAAAAAAGATACTGTAACTTCAGTGTCATCCTCAGCCTCTGTTTTGCTGTTGCTGTCTGGAGTATAAGCCCACTACCCAAGGACTAGAGTTATTTATGTAGTTTTTATTGGACTTCGGTGTATAACTTATACATATTAAAATTAATACTCATAATCCCCATTCCTGGATCAGTACAAAGTCCAAATGTTTGGGGACTCACTAAATCTTATTTGAAGGGTTATGTGAGCAGATAGAATATTTGTTTTTGAAATTGCCATTTTAGGATTAAAAACATATCTTGAGTTCCTTCAGTGACACATTGTTTTTATGGAGGAAGTAGAATAATCTGTCAATATTTTAGCTGTCTGCCTGTGGTACTCTACTTTGGTGGCCCTGTGACATAACCAGATTTGCCTTCTCAAAGTGTCTTTTTAAACTAAATATACTGACTCTGACCAGTTTTTTTTTCACAAGAAGTGTATTTTAGACTAGAGTCTTAAATTGTCCTATTTTGTATGTAGAGTCTTACTATGTTGCTCAGGCTGGTCTCGAACTCCTGGCCTCAAACGATCCTCCCGCCTTGGCTTCCCAAAGTGTTGGGATTACAAATGTGAACCAGCATGCTTGGCACTGGAAGTGCCTTTTTGATTTAGCTGTTTATATACTACCAGGGGATATGAATATAATTATGGCCCTGACCATAATTTTTGGGTTCAGCTAACTTACCAAAGGCTATCCAACATGTCTTAAAATACAAAAACTTGGGTTGATAGTGACACTGGTTTTGCTCAGTATTGTGCAGGTCTTCCCCAGTATTGTGGTGGTAGGTGAGGTTATTAGAATTTCAGACTTGTTGAGCATCATTTCTAAGTCAGGGAGATCTAGAGATTCTAGCGGGGATGGGAAATAGTCCTGTGGCCCTATGTAATAATACCATCTAGGTACTAGGAAGGAATTTAAAAGGTAGAAGCAATATCTGCTTCAGAGGCATTTAGTTTTCCTGGGGAAACATGCTTATGTGCACACATCTGAAAAACTTGCAAAGCAAGGTTTTATAAATGGATGTATACCAAACTAAATATATAGGCTGAAGGAATTAGAAAATAAGGCTCAATCAGAATTGGGCAGGGTTAACCTGGGACAGCTTTTTGAAGGCATGATTTGTGAAGCTTTAAATGTTCAAGAAGGGGAAAGTTAAAATAATAGTTTGTCTTTTTATAATACTACTCTAAGTTCTATGGGCTTTATAGAATCCACATTGCACATCATCCCCAGACCTATAGTTGTCTCAGTGTTCCAGAGACTTTGAGAATTTGGACTCTAACCATAAATTCCTTGAAAAAGAATGGTTCCAGGGTCTTAGTGGTTCCTGTGGTCATGTAGGGCCTTTGGTACAACCTGCTAAGTTCTGGGACAATCCAGGGGCTCTTTTGCAGTAATTTTGGGTTTGGAAGGTCATGTCACCTTTAGAGTGCCTTGGATAGCTCTACAGTGATGGGGATGGTGGTTCAACTTTGTTGGTGAGCTTGGACTTTTTCTTTCTTGGCAGAGTTAGTTGACCTTTGTTGTTTTGTTTTGTTTTTTTGAGACATAGTCTCACTCTGTTGCCTGGGGTAGAGTGCCAAGGCGTCAGCCTAGCTCACAGCAACCTCAAACTCCTATGCTCAGGCAATCCTCATGCCTCAGCCTCCCTAGTAGCTGGACTACAGGCATGCGCCACCATGCCTGGCTAATTTTTTCTATTTTGGGTAGAGACGGGGTCTTGCTCTTGCTCAGGCTGGTCTTGAACTCCTGAGCTCCAATGAT